TATACCACTTCACAGTGCTTTACAGCCCTCTCTAAATGGTTTACACAGTCAGCATGTTGCCCCCACAACAATCTGGGTCCTCATTTTCTCCATGTCAAAAGGATGGAAGGCTGAGTCAACCTTGAACCAGTCAGGATCAAACTCCTGGCAGTGGGCCGAGTTAATCTGCAATAGCAATAGCACTCAGACCAAGGGTCTTCAAACTTGGCAAGTTCAAGACTTGTGGACTTCAACTCCCAGAATTCCTGAGCTAACATGACTGGAGGAGGAATTCCGGGAGTTGAAGTCCACAAGTCTTAAACTTGCCAAGTTTGAAGACCCCTGACATAGACTTATATACCGCTTCACAACGCCTTACAGCCCTCTCTAAGCAGTTTATAGAGTCAGCCTCTTGCCCCCAACAATTTGGGTCCTCATTTGATCGACCTCGGAAGGATGGAAGGCTGAGTAAACCTGGTGAGATTCGAACTGCCAAATTGCAGACATCCCGCAGTCAGCAGAAGTAGCCTGCAGTCTGGTCCCCAGGATACCCTCCCAAAATGTTGAAATACTAGAAAAGGGGCAGAGAAGAGGAACAAAGATGATCAGGGGGTCTGGAGGCTAAATTGTAGGATGAAGAGTTGAAGGAACCAGGTGTGTGTAATCTAACAAAGAGAAGATTGGGGTAACATGAAAGCAGGGTTCCAGTATAGTACTTGAAGAAGTTGCTACAAAGAAGAGGGAGTTGACTTATTCTCCAAAACAAAAGAGGGCAGGATCAGAAGCAGTGGGTGAAAACTTGTCAAGGAGAGATCCAACCTAGAATTCAGGTAACATTTCCTGACACTGGGAACAATTAATCAATAGAATAGCTTGCCTCCCACAGTTGTGGGTGCTCCATCACTGGAGATTTTCAAGAAAAGATTAGACAACCATTTGTCCAGGATGATATAATGCCTCTCGCTTGAGCAGGGGGTTAGACTAGAAGACCTCCAAGGTCCCCTCCAACCCTATTATTCCGTGATCCAAAGATTCATTTTCTCCCCTTCCTAGACTTAAAGTCTTGTAAAATGATTATCCCAAGAGGAACAGGGCCCGGGTCAGAGATCAAAGGATTTGGCTCTGACTTCATGAATTATTCAAACCCAGTCAGCTGTGATCTATCCAACGAAGGTTGGTTTGCCTATCCTTGACTATTTCTTCTCCTGGTATCAAGTGAGACTCCTTGTTTCTGTCAGGGCGCTTGCTGCTGTCTAAAACATTTAATTCTACCACTATTCTAGCTTTTTTTTGACCAATGGCATACATACATCTTTCTTAGCTCCTTGGTTACAGTGTCATCAGAGGTGGTATTCAGCCAATTCTGACCAGTTCTAGAGAACCAGTAGCAGAAATTGTGAGTAGTTTGGAGAACCGGCAAATGCCACTTCTTGTGATGACCCAGGGCAGGATTCAAAGCAAACACGGTCACAGAAAACAGGTGAAGCCCCTTTTATTCCTTCACTTTGCTTCCAAGCTCCGAATATCCTTGATGGAAGACCAAAAAAACTCCCACACAAACAGTTACAAGAAGATAGAAAAAAGCAACACAAACCAGGCAAGATAAGGGCTGGAGGATGTCCACAGATAACACACACTGAGAAGGACACTAAACTCAGAAGGAACCATAAACTAGAGATATTTCCACGCTTTGGTTCCAGTGTTCACCTGTACACATGTCCATCCTCTTATTCAGTTGTCACAGCTGCAGCCCATGAAGAGGATCAAGGCCCTCTCCTCCTGAGTAGACCACATCTCTCCCTTATCCTCTCCTCCCTGTGTGCCCTAGGATGGAGAGGGGATGGGCCTTGGTCCTCCTCTGACTGGTCAGCCAGCCTCTGCCCTTCCCCAGTCTCCTCCATAACCTCCGGAGCCACACTTCCACTCCCTGTCGGCTATTCCTCCTCTCCCTCAGAGTCAGTCTCCAACAGGGGCATGACACTTCTGACTGGCCCCGCCCCCATCTCTTCTCTGCCTCCCATTGGGTCCCAGCTGATCGGCTGGGTCTTCTTTGGTTGCCCTGCACAGGAGAACGGAGCTGGAAAGCAGGTTAATGGGATGGGAAGGGAATGGGGTTTTTGCAATATCCTTCCCCTGCCACGCCGACCAAGCCACACCCACCAAACCACACCACACCCACCAAGCCACGCCCACAGAACCAGTAGTAAAAATATTTGAATCCCACCACTGGGTCACATGATCCCCTTTTGTGACTTTCTGACAAGCAAAATCAACGGGGAAACCAGAGTCACTTAACAATCCTGTTACTAACTTAACAACTGCAGTGATTCACGTTAACAACTATGGCAAGAAACATTGTAAAATGGGGCAAAACTCACTTAACAAATAAATGTCTCAGCAGAAATGTTGAGCTCAATTGTGATCGTAAGTTGAGGACTTCCTGTATTCTGCTATTTTATTTTATTTATGTTGCATGCATGCAAACCATTCTTGCTTAAATTTAGTTCAATTAGATTAAAAAAATCTCATCATTTTAAAATTATTATTATTATTATTATTATTTCTACTATTTTGGTATATTAATTCTTGCTAAATTTGTTCTATTCACCTTTCCCCTCCTCTCATTCATATATGTACATGCATAAAATAACAACATGGTGGAGATTTTAATATTAAGTAACTAGCTTCAGACCTAAACCTACATTGTATGACAAATATTTAGAGGCAAGTAATTATGGGTTTTTTTAAAAAATGTCCTACTCAGCTTTGAATAAAAAACCTCAAATTATGAATGTGTGAAATATTAATATCGTGAATTGTAATGAATTATTGATATATCTCTTTCTCTTATTTTCAATGTTCTTTTCCAGATAACAGAATGCCAATAACCCTTTCTGATCTAAGCACCACTGTACTGAAATAATACAATGTTTCAAGGCATATAACATAATAAAAAGGAAGCAAAACAAGGAAATTGTAAAGTACTAAACAATGCTTGGTTTAGGTCTCCATGTAATTAGCTGTGTTATGTAAATCAGGTTCTATGGCAGCGGTGGCTAACCTTTTTGGGCTCATGTGCCAGCACCCAGAAGGCAATGCGCACGGCCCCCCCCCCTCCCCCCCCCCCCCCGTCGGCCCCTTACCTGCACTGTGTGCCTCCCAGCTGATTTTCGGCCCATTTGAGGCCTTTTTCAGCTTCCCAGAGGCTCAAAAAATGGGCCCCCTTCCGGTATTTCCAAAAATACAGGAAGTGATGAAGCGGGCCCGTTTTTCGGCCTCCAAAGGCTGTAGAGGCTTCCCTTGATCCTCTGGGAGGCTGAAAAAGGCCTCAAACGGGCCGAAAATCAGCTGGGAGGCACACGCATGCGCGGTACAGGTAAGTTTGGCTGGGGCTTGCATGCCCGCACAAATGGCTGCGTGCCACCTGTGGCACGCGTGCCATAGGTTTGCCATCACGGGTCTATGGCAAAACTGAATGTGGGAGGACAAACGTGTATCAGCCAAGAAACCACGATGAAGCAAGGCCAAGACTGTGCAGCCGTGCAAACTTCACCAAGAATTGGAAGCATTTTGTCCGCTTTCCATCTTTTTCTGAGATTCCCAGCTGGGTTCCCCATTTGGCTTGGCTGCAGCAGTTATTGCTCAACTGATCTTTTACAAGGGGGGGGGGGGGGTGCACTCTGTACAGAAGTGCGCAGAAGCCTGGAGGACTCTACTCCACTATGGTGTGCAGAGTCCAGTTGCTATTCTAAGCTCCGCAATTGGGGCTCCAGTCCAGGAAGGCTGAAAGGAGGAGCTCCTTGGTGCTCTCAGAGCTTGCTTGTTTTCTTGCAGGCGTTTCATGACCCACACTAGGTAACATCATCAGTGCTAGAAGGGAATGAAGTGTGCAGAGAGGAGGAGGAGGAGGAGGAGGAGGAGGAGAACTATGGGCTCCTTGGTGCTCTCAGAGCTTGCTTGTTTTCTTGCAGGCGTTTCATGACCCACACTAGGTAACATCATCAGTGCTGGAAGGGAATGAGCTTTTGGGGTGGAAGGAGAGAGGAGGAGGAGGAAGACTGTGGGGTCTTTGGTGCTCTCTGAACTTCCATCAATCAGAGTAGAGCTGGAAGGGACCTTGGAGGTCTTCTAGTCCAACCCCCTGCTCAAGCAGGAGACCTTATACCATTTCAGACAAGTGATTGTCAGGTCTCTTCTTTAAAAAATTCCAATGACGAAGCCCTCACACCTTCTTGTGGCAAGCCGTTTCACTGGTTCATTGTCCTCACTGCCAGGCAGTTTCTCCTTAATTCCAAATTGCTTGTCTGCTCGACGAGTTTCCAACCATTGTTTCTTGTCTTGCTGTCTGGTGCTTTGGAAAATAAGTTGACCCCCCCTCGTGGCTCAAATACTGGAAGATTGCTATCACGCCCCCCCCCCCCTTCTCTACACTGGCCGAACACAAATCCTGTTGCAACCATTTTTTGCATGTTTTAGTTTCCAGGCCTTTAATCATCTTAGTTGTTCTTCTTCGCACTTTTAACAGATTTAATAGGTTAGCAGAGTTGGAAGGGATCTTCTAGGTCATCTAGTCCAACCCTGCCACCCAAGCAGGAACCCTACACCATTTCTGACAGACGGCCTTTTCTTGAAAGCCTCCAGGGGTGGCTTTCTCGGTTTTTGTTTTGCAGGCGTCTCATTACCGACACTAAGTAACGCCGTCAGAGGAAGCGTGGCACGTCTGCACGGAAAACAAGCAAGCCCAGAGCGCGCTCATTGCAACCCCGAGTAGCGCTCATTGCAACCCCGAGCAGCGCTCATTGCAACCCCGAGCTACAAATCTCCTCCCTTATTGGAAGCGCAGAGGCTTTCTGCACGGGGCCAGAGGCTAGGGAGCCTTCGGAGCAGCTGTCACCGCCAGCCTGCCTGCCTGCCTGCCGCTGCCGAGGCCCGGCCCCGGGCCAGCTGCTGCCTACCCACCGTTCCCTCCCTCCCCTTCCTTTCCTTTCCTTTCCCTTCCCCACTGAAGCTCAGCTCCTCCCCCGCCGCTCGCTCGCTCGCTCGCTCGGCTGATCCGGCTCGGAGCGCAGGAACCGAAGCGGAGAGCGCTGCCTCGGCAGGTGGGAAGAAGGAGGAGGAGGAAGAGGAGGAAGAAGAAGCCCCCGCGATCCTCTCGCGCGCGGATCGTGCGCGCCCTCCCTGCCCGGCACCCACCATGCAGCGGCCGGCTGAGCGAGCCTGTCTCCTGCTCGCCATCCTGCCCGCCGCCTTGCTCGCCCTGGCCCCGCTGCCCGCCTCCCTCCCTCTCGCCGCCGCCGCTGCCAGGAACGCCAGCAGCAGCAGCCGCAGCCCCAGTCAGGGCGACTCCCGCGAGCCCCAGAAAGTGGCCGCCGCCGCCTCGACGCCGCCGCCTCCGCCGCCTTCCGCCGGGAATCACAGCGGCGGCGGCGGCGGTGCCCAGCAGCGCAACCCGGTCCTGGAGATGCTGCGCGACCTGCCGGCGCTCAAGGCCGCTGTCGTCGGAGCCTGCGCGGCCAGCGCCTGTCTGATGGCCTGCCTGCTCTTCCGCGTCCTCAGGTGCGGGCGGGAGGAAGGGGCGCGAGGGTCCCACACTCCCAGGCAACCTTCCGCTCCTGGGCCCCTAAAGCAGCCGAGCCCTTTCCCCGGCCCTCTAGCCCACCCCGCTCCTGGGGCAGGTGAAGGGGCAGGTGAAGGGGAGGTGGGCTTTTATCCTGTTGCAGTGGCTGGGTGGGTGGGTGGGTGGGTTAGAAGCGCTGCCCATCCCTTACCTTCCTAAACCCCACCACAACCTGGCAAGAGAGGCCAAGGGGTTCCTCCTCCTGGCGGAGAAGAAATAAGGATTAAAGCCAGTTTGTGTTTGAATATTCTCAGCCTGCCTCTTTGCATTGAGGCCCATCTGGGCTGTAAGGATGATATGGAATTCTTATGTAAGGAATTATTTTTCTCATGCCCCCCCCCCCCCCCAATATACTACTGTCTAATGCTGTCTAATAACGCTGTCCATTCTTATAAGGCAGGCTGGTATATCTTCTTGACATAAGAGGCTTGAGAACCTAAAAGAGCCGTCGCTTAAGAAGACCTTAAGCCTGTGCCTTTCCCTTATCCTGACTTTTTAACCTTGCTTTGTTCTGTTGGCATGGGCCTAAATCGGAAATATTTCATTCTTTTTGAGAGGGGCTTCCCACCCCCTCTGCAAAATTCAGAAGGGGGAACCTTGCATGCTGCAGATTATTCTCCCTTTCTTGCTTATGAAGAGGCTTGAGAACAGCTGCCAACAGCCGAGGGTTTCATGGTGAGATTTAAAGCAAGGCTTTCTGGATTAAAACGGAGCTGCTTCGCCCAGGCTCAAGCACAATGGAGTGGGTGAGCCCTCCCCCCCCGCAGGCACAGCACTCATGAACAAAATGTGACTTTTCAGGAAGGAAAAACCTCCTTACTTCCCCTCTGAACAGGATATTTTTCTGTAAGGGAAGAAACACTTCGGGACTTTTGCGGCTCGATATTAACGGGGACCTGAGCTAACGGATAGCAATAGCCATAGCACTTAGACTTATATACTGATTCACGGTGCTTTCCAGCCCTCTCTCAGCAGTTTACAGAGTCAGCCCATTGCCCCCAACCATCTGGGTCCTCGGAAGGATGGAAGGCTGAGTCAACCTTGAGCCAGTCAGGATTGAAGTGCTGACAGTGGGCAGAGTTAGCTTGCAATACTGCATTCGAACCACCACTGGGAAGGAAGGAAGGAAGGGCGGGGGGAGGAAGGAAGAGCACTAAGACTTATATACCACTTCACAGTGCTTTTACAGCTCTCTAAGCAGTTTACAGAGTCAGCCTATTGCCCCCAACAATCTGGGTCCTAATTTTACCCAATTTGGAAGGATGAGAGGCTGCGTCAATCTTGAGTCTGGTGAGATTTGAACTGCCAAATTGCAGGCAGCTGGCAGTCAGCAGAAGTAGCCTGCAGTACTGCACTCTAACCACTGCGCCACCACGGCTCTAGGAAGATGTTGGTGATGCAAATGGCAAGAAGGGTTAAATTTTCAAGTGCTGAGTTCGGGATTGCTCTGACATCAGCCACCAGGGCACCAATCCTTGCTTTTATTTAGTCGTCTTCTCTATTCAACTGCACTACAAACTCGTTCCTTGTAGCTGGAGCCAGTGTAGTATTGTGGTTAAGGCACTAGGCTAGAAACCAGGTGATGGTGAATTCTAGTTTCACCTTGAGCACAAAGCCAGCTAGGTGGTGCTGGACCGGTTCTTGGTCCTAGGAAGAAGAAGGCAATGCAAGTAGCAAAGGCTACTTCAAAAATCTTGCCAATAAAAGCTGCAGGGACTGATGAAAGCAGTTACCAGAAATCAATACAGAGTTAAAGGTGTGTGTGAGTGTATATTTAAAAAGGGAATCACATACCGGTAGTATATATGGTAATTGAGCCTGGCGTTGCAGCCATAAGTCATTGCAATCATTAAGCAAGTCACCATCGGACTGGATCTGATTTTATGCCTTTTTGTGATGGTTGCTAAGCGAACAGAGTGTGGTTGCTAAGCAAATATGCCCCTATTTTATCCAGGGGGCATATTTTGCCTGACAATGGAAGTAAACACTGGAAATTGGCAAATAATAATAACCCCTCAAAAATCAGCCAGGTGCCTGCAGGATGCTGAGCCAGTTGTCAATGGGATAACAGGACTGCAGGAGTATCCTTGTAGTTTCAAAGTCAGGTCATAGGTAGCTTTTTTTGGGGGGGGGCAGTGTCTGTTGTTTGAACAGTTGCTTAGCAACCAGCCATAAGTCAAGAACTACCTGTATAAGCCCCCTGCTTAAAGTCTCTCTATGAAAGCACGTCTTAATCCCACCTTCTGCCACCTGGCAGTCTCCAATGTGCTGGGACAGCAGTTGTCGACCTCCCCTTGTCACCAAAGCTTGGGATTCTGGGAGTTCTTATCCCAGCACATCTGCAAGATGTCAATTGACAAAGGCTGTTTACATCAGCTGCCTAACAGCTTCCAGCTTTCACCGCTTCCGTTCGAAGCATTTACATTGTGGGTTACGCTTACATTTTACATGTATTGATTGATTTGATTAGCCCCTGGGCCATCTCGAAGTGCAGAAACAAATTATTACTAAAAGTTGATAAAAGCAATGTAAAATGGAATTGGATAAAGTACAATTTAAAATGAAATTGGAATGGAATACAATAAGTTATCATATAGATAAATGCTGATAATAAAATTATCTTTCGGTGTCAAACCCTGCAGTCTACCCCAATCAGTCCCACATATGCAGATCTCAGCCGAACCATTTTGTTTAAGTCCTGTGCTGTGTTAAATGTTACTTTCAGATTCTGGCTGCACATAAGGGAAGCTGTTTTGATAAGGGGTTACATAGATTTTCCCCAAATCGGGATGATTAAAGGCAGGTCAGGTACGTTAGCTGTGTAAAACCAGGACTGGCAATATTTGCTCCCAAGTGGCCAAAGTAGTTTTTCACAGCTCTTTCTGACCTGAATCTTTTAAATGGGAATACAGGTAGTCCTGGACTTATGACCACAATTGAGCCTAACATTTCTGCTGCTAAGTGAAATGCCTCATTTTATGACCTTTCTTGACACATTTGTTAAGTGTGGTGGTTAAGTTAGTGACATGGTTATTAAGAAAATCTGGTTCCCCATTGACTTTGCTTGTCAGAAGGTCCCCAGGACATTGCAAGCGTCATAAATATGAGTCAGTTGCCAAGCGTCTAAATTTTGATTGCGTGACTACAACGGTGCTGCAATGGTCATAAGTGTGAAAAATGGTCGTAAGTCACTTTTTTTCAGGGCCATCGTAAATAAATGTCACTAAATGAATTCGAGGACTGCCTGATATGTAAGTTTCAGGGTTCACACAGCATGCTTCACCAGATGGATTACAAGCTGCCGTTTGTTCCTTTGTAGATTTAAGAATTCTGAACACCCAATGCTTTTGATTAGTTTATTACGTGTTTCGATTAGGTTATTCCTATTTTGATCAGTTTATAATACGGGTTGACTGCATAACCGGGTTAGTTTCCTGGTGTGAACGTGTTAGAATCAGGAACTGTTCGTGTGGCTTTCTCCCTGCAAACGGGCACGGGCTACCACTGACTGACGGACGTAGGCTCTGAGGCTTGAAGAGGTAATGAATGGGAAAAGGTCACATCAGCCTTGGTTGGCTTCTGGGGTATTAAATTTCTTGTTTACAGGAAGCCGCTCTCATCTCTTTTGGAAATCTATCTGGAAATATCTCCTACGTCTTTCCTGAACAGAAGGTTTTTGGGTAGGCAGAGCTTTAGGGGAAACTGGTTTTTGGATTGAGGAAATTTTTCGGAGGAATAAACTGGGTGCTTCTGGCAGAAGTCAAATAAGCATGTTGAAAAGCCTCGATAGATCTCTGAAAACCTGTTTTTCCCGTTCTGATTCATTCACGTGTCAGGTTGGACCGGGGAGGAAAAAAGGACAAGGTAACCCAGAAGTGAAATATTCTCCATCGCTGGAGGATTTTAAGAGGAGAGTGAACAGCCATTTTGTCCAGAATAGGATAAAGTCTCCTGCTTGATCACGAAGTTGGACTAGAAGACCTCTAAGGTCCCTTCCGACCCTGTCATTCTTTGTTCTATGTTCTTTGTTCTTGTTGTAGTGTGTTTGTGTGTCTGTGTGTGGTCATTTGTTTTATTTAGAATTTATACCCAGGTAGATAAGCGTAGAGTTGTAATATTTATGTCCGGGGCTGGGTTTCAAAAATCTTAGCATAGGGTTCTCTGCCTGGTTGCTGGGTGGGCGTGGCCACGGTGCGCCTGGCCTAGTCAGCCTCCTGCACTATGGCGGGGGGCGGGGCGTTTTTGCCCTTCCTAGGCTCTGGAGGCTTTCCTTGAGCCTCCAGGAGGGCGAAAACAGCCTCCCCGGGCTCCGGAGGCTCTCTGGAAGCTGGAAACGGGCCCATTTCCGGCCTTCCTGAGCTTCCGGGAGGCCTGTTTTTTGCCCTCCCCGAGTCTCCATGTGCGCCCTGCACTTCGCTGCATCCAAAATGGGTCGCATGGGGACTCCTGGGAGGGGAGGGGTGGGCAGGGACAGACAGGAGTGAAATTTGGGGGTTCTCTGAACTGCACAGAATCTTAGCTAGGGGCTCTCCTGAACCCCAGCAGACCACCCCTGGTTTTGTTCCATTTTCAGGATGGCCAGCAGGGGTGGGTTTCTACCGGTTCTGTCCACCTCTGTAGAACCGGTAGCTCTGAAGAGCAGCAGGCATAGAACCGGTTCTATGTCTGCTGATGTTTTTGCCCACCTGCCCACCCGGGCTCTTACCTGACCTTTATTTCCTGCTTTTTCAACCTTAGCTGCCGAACGAGGCACAGTTTCAAAGGCTGTTTCTCGGCACGCAGCGTGCTGATGACGATTTACAGGCGCGCAGCTCACAGCCTGCAGAGAAGCTCGAAAATCCCGAACCAGTAGTTAACCCTGTCGTATCCCACCCCTGATGGCCAGGTATAAGAAGGAAGAAATTACCTAGCTTGTAGCTGAGTTCTCCTTTATCTGACA